AACAGAAAGTAGACTCCTCAAGAAATGTATAAATTCTCAAATTAGAAATTGACAATGTCGTTGTTAGGAAGCAAACATGAAACTATCTTAAGCCTCTCTGCTTGTAAATTGTAATTGGAGAAAAGCAACAGAGGGGGATGATGCCAGAGCAGATAAATGAAACACATATGTACCATACTTGAAACTTATCAGCAACACTCACAGACAAATTATACATGGCTATTCAAGAAGTTTCAAGAGGGAAGTGAAGGGAGGGGAGGGGGAGGAGCCGCCGCACAGTAGGCAGAGAGAGATGTGGGAGAGAGGGGACATTGGGAAAATGGAGGAAGATGAAATGAAATTAGGGTTTAGGTGGTATAATATTTAATTACCTGAATTTTCATTAAATAATTTTAACACCTGATTTTTGCACTTTGAAGTTTAAAGATCTGATCTATGTAATTTTCCCAAAAATGTATATGTAAATCAAATGGGCCATTAGATTGGGCCATTGTAGGTTGGCTCGCGCTAGCATTGGCCCATTTTTCATCCATCGCGTTACTATAACGCGGAAGAGACGATCTTTACTTTTTATAATACACATTTTGTTCCCTCAAAAATTCAATTGTTGCATAATCAACCACTTTCTTCTTCGGGTACGGAATTTTTCTTTCTCAAAAATAAATTATTACTATTATTATTGTATTTTTTGTTTTTCGTACGAGTTATCGAGTTCTTTTTAGTAATTGAAAGCTTTTAGGATTTTTTGGATCAGGTAAAATATTGTAGATATGAGTAACTGGATTGCTGAAATCTGGGCCCAGGATCAGGATATGGGTGGTGATGCTGATGCAGCCGATTGGAGGACTCAGCTACCAGAGGATGCCAGACAGAGGAGTATAAATAAGATGTACATAAAGTGCTTATTTGCTTTTTGAGGAGTGAAAATTTTTAATTTTAATTCCAATCCTGCCAATTGTGTTATTAGTTCATGTTGACTTGGGCAGAATTTTTCATGGCCATTTTCTTTTAGATTTTAAGCTTGTTCGAAAAGGATTATTTTATTAGAAACTTTCCCCATAATGATTGGTTCATAATTTCATGTAGACTTGCCTGAAATTTTTTGAAGTCCTTTCGTTTTAAAAGTTCCCTTGTTTACAGAGTCTATGCACTGATAACAAAGATTATAAAGAATCTAGTATAAAATTAGAATGGATAGTTGTAGGTGGATAGTATTATAGTGGATGAAGGTGGATAATATTCTTCTATGTTCTAGTATTAGTAAAAAAAAGTTTTAATTTTGAACTGTCAACGTATAACTCAAAGCAGATGGTAAAGATCGTTTCAGACTGGATAAGATAACTAGTATAAATGACATTTTTTTTTGTATGTTTGCTATGCGAGCAATGTTGGACAGTGAACGATATAATTAACAAAATTTTAACTTTTTTTTTCTTCCTGATATAGTTTAGTCATCCCTACTAAACATGCCATAAGTATCCATAAATTTTCTCTGAGGTTGAGTGTGGTAGAATATAATTGGGTCCATACTTGCTGCAGTATTCTGTAAGAAATTTTAAGAAATCTGTGATTTATTCATTAAAAATGTCTTTTCATTACTTATTTTTTATAAAAAAAAAAAATTACGTACATTTGAGCTCACACGTGTGTATTGTCATGGAAAATATGTAGGGTTAAAAATCTTGAACAACATAGAAACCTAATGGAACTGATTAGCAAAACCTGCAAATTTGTGGGCTTAATTTCTGGTAAAAGAACTCTGGACCATTTCAGGCACGCAAGCATTCATGTGAGATTTGATGTTTATATTTAACAAAAGCTTTTGTTCTGAAGAACTTATAAAGAAGTTATTTCAAGAATAACATGAGATAAATTAAAAAATGGTTAATTATTTTAACTACATAAAATTTTTAGGTAACGTATTTTCTGCCTGCTGAAAATTGAACTTGTTTTCAATAGTAGTCGAACTCCATGGAGGTGGAAGGTAAATTTTCACGAATGCATTGCATTCCATCTAAATTAGATGATCTCTTCAGATTCAGGAAATGAAGTAATCAATTATGTCTATGAGAGGTCAGGTTGATACTGGTCTAGGATTGGATGGATTCACATCCTTCTACGGCTTCCAGGGATAATGTTATCTTTCTTAAAATACACTTCTTCTTTGGAAA